AACGGAAAACATCCGAACGTTGAGCTTACAAAGCCCAGTAGTATAATCGTTAATATAGAGAAGCATTACGAGTATGGGTGAACAAAACTCAACCGGACTCGAAAAATTGAACTTTTTTTTTTCAATTTCTAGTATATCCGAGTCAATTTATTTGAGCTATTCGAGTCAACTCGAATTATCAATTCGGTTTTTGAGTTCGAGTCGAATTGAAAATTTGAAATTTTGAATTAGTTGAAAAACCATAAATTTGAATAAGTATTTTGATAGTTTTACAATTTAGTCCCTAATTTCATTGTTCCTTCAATTCCTCCTTCATTCTAAGTCCAATTTTTACCAAACTTGAGTACTCATCCTAAACCATCATAGCATATGTACTTTAAATTCCTCTTTTTGATAACAAATTTTCTATTTTTAATTTAGTCCCTTAATTTTTATAATTTCTTTATTTTTTTCAATTCATCCTTTATTTCAAATCTATTTTTACCAAATTCGAACCACATGCTCATAAACCACCATAGAATACATATGTACTTTCAATTCCTCTTTTTGATAACAAATTTTTAATTTTTCATAATTTTCTTATTTCTTAAATTCATCCTTTATTTCAAGTCCATTTTTATCAAATTTGAACCACATGCTCATACACCACAATAGAATACTTATGTAACTTCAATTCTTACTTTTTTTTTACTAAAAATGTACTCTCTCTCTTTTATTTAGTCCCTTAACTTTGCATTTTACTCAATTTGGTATTTTGACTACAATTGTTTGCAAATTCTTTCTTCCCATCAACTTCTTGACTCCTTGCCATAATACTATTGTAACACCCCGAATCCCAGGTTAGTAGTTTAGGTCAACCCGAGACCCATAATTTGAGCCCAAAGTACCTATTAGAATAGCTTGGATCAAGTTTAGTAGCAATTGGGCTTGAGTTGGGCCTAAGAGAATTTTTAAAGATTGTTGGGTCTGTTATGAAATAGAAATTATAGGGACTAAAGATACAATTTTCCCATTGTTGGTTTGAAAATTGAAAACCCTTTTTTTATATGTTTTACATGAACTACTCCCCTCATTAGCTCACCAAACATTCTTCTTATTCCTTCCATCTTTTTCTCTTCCTCTTTTTTTCCAAAGAGAATATATCAAGCATTTCAAGTTTGGTGTGGTTAAATCAAGGTAAGAAAAATAATCCTCATCCTTCTAGCTTCAATTTAAGCTCCATTTCTCAAGTTTTAGCCATGGAAACCAAAATGGGTTTTTGAGAGGTTTATGAGAATTTATGGATTCTAGTTCATTTTGGGTAGATTTGAGTTATAGAGAGTGCATTTTAATTGTATACAACACCTAGTTGAGTTAGTAATCTATTTTTCTACCTTGTTTAGTGAAAGAGGTAGGAGAGAGTTCCAAAGCAAATGGGGAAAAGTGACTCCAAGTTGATTTGGGAGAGGCTTTAGCAGTAAGAGAAATCATGTCACACACTCACAACTCCTTCATACCTTTAGTGAATAATGAATGCAAGATAGCATATGAGTTGAGTTTAAAGTTTAACGAGCATTTCCATGGTAGATTTCATGATTTATGTTTTTAATATGTTTTAAAGCCTTATTTATGACTCTTATTGATCACATAAGACGTTAATAACAATTGAGAACCTCAAAGTAGTAATATCAGTGAATTTGAGTACCCAAATAGGGCAATCTTAAGCGAGGGTATCAGTATTGAAAGAATAATACCAATATTGTTCTTCAAACCAGCCTGAAATTGTTTAAGTTTCAAAAGCAGTATCGATACTCATTAAAAAAGTATCGATACTCATGGTCCAGTATCAATACTTCATGGGTAAGTATCGATAATGGAGTATTTTTGAAACATCGAAACCAAATTTGGTATCAGTACTTATGGGAGTATCGATACCCAGGGCAGAAGTATCGATACTAGGAATATTTCCAAAACATCGAACCTAAAATTTGTATCAATACCCAAGGGGAGGTTGTAACACCCTAATCTAGTTTGACCCGAAGATCCATGGATTACAATGTTACACGGGACTACTGAAATAGTGATCCAAAAATTTTCTTTAAAAATTGTTTATAATCGCTGAAATAATCCATCCATAGTGATAAAAATAAAACGTGATAATATGGGTATACAAATAATGGGGAACTCCTAAAATATATCTCAAAATAATACAATACCAAATACAATTTAAAGATACGATTGAATACACAATAGGGTCTATAAATAGTACATATCCTCTAATGATGACTCGAGACGTACTCAGATGGTCTCGGTTGGTCTATATTGTTATATTGGAATGTATGGCGATGATACCTCCCCACGATCTGCCCCTAAGAACTTGCACATGAAAACACATTCTGAACGCTGAGCTTACGAGTGTAGTGTCTCACTAATAACTGTATTATACTATATACATTCACTAAATAAGATAATTAGTGACACATGTCTAAACATGAAAATCTACTGATTTAACTACTGAGTAGGCATCATGATCTGGCTGAGGGTTTTGCATCTCGGAGCTCACACACCCCTCTAGCCATTTTGAGATATCCTCGGGTATCTAGGGTGAGATCCGGAGCTATATCGGAAACGTACACCTGCCAACTTACTCCGTCAAGTCTTGGGGCATCTGTGCCTATTTGGTTACTAAAGCGCCTTGGCACTGACTTGGATATCCACTAACTGTCGTATTATGCTAAGAGAGACTTGGATGTCCTGGTTGTTTCCCTAGCATCAAACAAGACTAATTTTATGTATACCTAGCTATGATTGTTTCACGTGTTTCACAAAGCCTTCCTATTTACAAAAGTATTATTGTAACAATACTTCTTCCACGTGTCGTTCTCCGATTGAAGAACATATTTCCTCATCGAATCGGTCTCCTGAATACAGTGCATTTATTGCTAATTTTTCAACTGTGTCTGAACCAAGTTTTTATCATCAAGTCGTTAAGTCGTATGCTTGGGAGGATACCATGCATGAAGAATTACAAGCGATGCAGGCTCTCGATACCTGGTCAATCGTTCCTTTACCTGAAGGAAAGAGGCCAATCGACTGTAAGTGGGTTTATCGTGTTAAAGTCAAGGTGGATGGTTCGGTTGAGCGTTATAAGGCTAGATTAGTTGCAAAGGGTTTCACACAAATTGAAGGCATCGATTTCATGGATACCTTTTCACCTGTTACCAAAATGACTTCTTTTAGGTTGTTGCTTACATTAGCTGCTGCTCGTGGATGGCTTCTCTTCCAGTTGGATGTCAACAATGCCTTCTTGAATAGAAGCTTGGAGGAGGAAGTGTACATGAAGTTGCCTCCTGGTTATAGAAGTGATTTACAAGGCTCGAATATGGTCTGCAAGTTGAATAAGTTCATCTACGATTTAAAGAAGGCTTCAAGGTAGTGGTTTGCGACTTTTTCGAGTGTAGTTCTGAAGTATGGTTTTAAGCAATCCCCTTTTGAACACTCATTATTTACAACAGGTTGTGGAGATAATTTCATTGCTTTACTGATTTATGTCGATGACATTGTCATTGCTGGCAAGAATGTGCAGTTGTTGGCTAAGGTTCAGGGCTTTTCTACAACAACACTTCAAGTTAAAAGTGCTAGGGCCATTGCGCTATTTCTTGGGATTTGAAGTTGCTAGGAATGAGAATGGTATTTCTTTGCCCAAAGAAAATATGCTTTGCAGTTGCTTGAAGACACTGGATGTTTGGGCAAGAAACCTGCTGATTCGCCCATGATTCCATCTTTGAAGCTTAGTGCTAATGAGGTTGAACTTTTGGAAGATCCTCGGAAGAATAGAAGGTTAGTAGGACGCTTGTTGTATCTAACCAATACAAGGCCTGACATTGTTCACACTGTTCATCTGCTAATTCAATTCGTATCCAGTCCCAGGTTACCTCATCTGGTTGCTTTGAAGCATTTGTCAGCATACATCAAGCAAACGCCTGGTCTTGGTTTATTCTTTCCAGTAATTCTACCTTGCAATTAAGTGCTTTCATTGATTCTGATTATGGGGGATAGTCTTCTTTCTTGGAAATCCAAGAAACAAACCATTGTGAGCAGATCCTCTTGTGAGGCGGAGTATCGTGCCATGGCTGTCGTTACTTGCGAACTGGTTTGGCTGGCTTCCTTGCTCTCTTCGTTCAACATCCCATTGACCATGTCAAGCTTTACTGTGACAATCAAGCTTCAATTCATCTTGCGAGTAATCAGGTGTTTCACGAGCGTACCAAACACATTGAACTTAATTGTCATTTTGTGCGATACAAGGTGAAACAAGGATTTCTACGTTTGTTTCATGTTAAGTCCTCTGAACAACTAGCTGATATCTTGATGAAAACATTGCGTTCTCCCATGTACCGTTTCCTTGTTGACAAGCTGGGACTCCTCAATATTCATGCAGTCCCATCTTGAAGGGTATTAGAATAACTGTTATATCGGTTATGCGTTGGTTATTCTTGTTTTCAGGGTTTGTTAATTAGTTAGGGTTGTATTTGCCTTGTATATATATTCCACCTCCTTTGTATTATTCTGTGAAGGATTGAATGTAAAAGTTTTCTTCACCTTGCTGTTTCCAGTAAAAATCTTCAGTTTCTCAAACTGTGATAAGAATCAATGTGTTAAAAGATTTATTTTACAGATTAAATATAATTCCATTAATTTATTGATATAATATATCGAAAAATATAAAATCACAGAGACATCAAAATAATGTTGGCATTATATATAAAAGAAAGAACTTTCTTTTTCATGGTTTGATCTGAGATTTGCCTTGTATATATATTCCACCTCCTTTGTATTATTCTGTGAAGGATTGAATGTAAAAGTTTTCTTCACCTTGCTGTTTCCAGTAAAAATCTTCAGTTTCTCAAACTGTGATAAGGATCAATGTGTTAAAAGATTTATTTTACAGATTAAATATAATTCCATTAATTTATTGATATAATATAAAATCACAGAGACATCAAAATAATGTTGGCATTATATATAAAAGAAAGAACTTTCTTTTTCATGGTTTGATCTGAGAATCATCCCATTGAATGTTTAGATCCGTAGAGACAAGCTCATCAATATCATTCCAATCCCAGTACCAATTCGCCATTTGAATGCCGCTGCTCGAAATAGGTTCTTGCCATGTCTGTGAATTAGTGCCACTTATGACGGGCATGATGATGGTTTGATCCTCCACTGTATCCCCGCTGTAATTATAGATGCTCGAAGATCGAAATGAGGTCGATATCGCAGATGGAGATTTCTCGAAAGAACTCAAACTCGAAAACGGAAACTGTAAGCCTTGAGACATGGTAGAAGAAGCCATGAAAACTCCATCGAGCCTACTGATAACGCCGGATACGGCGGAGCTTGTGGTGGCAGACGCAGCATCAGATATCTTGATCCGCTTGTTTTTGCGGCCACTGCCGACGGGAACGTTGCGAAGAGTGCCGCCTTTAGTCCAATGTCTTTTACAAGTCTTGCAGAAATACCTAGGTTGCGACTTGTTATAGTTGTTGTAATAACAAAACTTGGTGTTGGAAGAATCACACCTCGGACAGTTCAACGGCGGCTCCGATTCAGGCAGCTGGTTTTGTTGACGCCGCCTCTTCATCGACAAAGCTCTCGGTTGCTCCGTCGTTTGAGCAGCCTGCAACAAGGAGTGGCCCTGGTTCCTTCCGATGCCATCGCTAGAACTCAGTCCCATCTCTCTCTCAAAACCCTACAAATTTTGAAGCTCTCGGATCGAAGGATGAAGTGTTCAAATCAACCTGAAGAAAAACCAGTGATGATCATGAGATTTGTTCCTATAAGCAGAACACTAATGTTTTTTTTAAAACAAATTTGATAAGGAAATTCACGGAAAGTGATGAGAATATAGAAAATAAGAAATAATTAATTAGTGTTCATGGCTATCCAAAGAATTTTATAGTGCAAATAGGAAAAGAAGATAGGGCAGGGACAGAGTTCCTTAGGCGTGAAGGTGGTGGTGATGGTGGGTTGGTGACACGTGGAAAGGATGGACCTTTGTCAGTGTTGTGAAGAGAGGGGGTGATATTATACTAAGTTAAATTAGCAAAGCACTTACATGCACGTGTTGGCTCGGCCATATATGTGAAAATGATGGATCGTTGGGTCTATAAATTTTGCTAAATTGTTGCTATCCCAGTCCTTCAAGTAATTTCCCTTGTTTTTCCAAAACAAAATCCCTATAGAAATATATATATATATATATATTGCTTTTATTCTAATATATGCTTTGTAGGTAGGGTCCATTTTGTGTCAAATGTAGTCACCGGCGCCGGCCATGATGACTTGACATGATAGAAGAAAATCAAAAGAAAACTATAATTGGGATTTAATTAGGTTGTTAATAACCTCATTTTTTCTACAAAATTTTAAATCTAATTCTAATTATATGAGAGAGAAAGAATTTAAAAAAAAGAAAGAGAGATTCCAAGTAGTTCTAAATCTAAAGAAATATAAAAGAATAAAAATACGATCACCTAGGGAGGGATTTTTTTGGCCCAGTAGGGCAGCCTAAAAAAATTTATAAATGTCATCTACATTTTTATTTTGGATCTATAATATTTTTTTATAATGCATAGAACTCGTCGAGATTCAATTTTAAGCTCGATGTGATAAATTTTAATAAAAATTATATTTTATTAAAATTCAACATCTCGAGATGACGAGTTCCATATTCACTGTAGCATTTGTTGTATTCTCCAAAATAAAATTCGAACGTTAATGGGCTAAATAAAAAACCCAAAATCCATAATGGGCTAAAAAACCCTTTGGAGCAATTTAACACTAGATAAACACCAATTCAACATATAAGGTCATCTTCACCATAGCAATTAAGGAACGATTATGCACCGCACGAATCAAACTACTTTAGTGATAAAGGAGTCGTCGTTATTCCTTGAGGTTTCAGGTTTAAGTATTAGAAATTCAAGGGTATCAATGTTTAATACCAAATGATTGAGAATTATTTTTAAATAGATATTACCTTATACTTACTCAAATTAATAGTAAAAAAAGAATGATGATGCACAACAATTCGATAATTCAGCCATATCATTTCAAGATTTGATCATTTAACCAAAACATTCAGGGGTTTCGATTGTCCCTTGATGGCTTGCTTATCTTATGGGGATTAAATTCGGTTAAGTAGTAAGTGTCTAAAGCAAATTTATATATTGATTAAAATTTTAAAATGGGATTCGAATTTATAAATCTTGCAGTATAATATTATGTGATATCACCAATTCATATTTAACTCCTGAATTGAAGTGAAATGTTACAATTCAAATTTAAGTCTTTCAAATATCTTAAATAATTTATCGTAGTTGAGTTGAACTCCCCGTGATATTTCGTGTTCGGTGTGTTTTTCATTGTTGTCAATTTTGAGTTGGGTATCTCATAATGTCTTATTGTTTTTACTTCATGATTGTCGGGTTGTATTTATTTGAGTTGTAACTTTTACCTAATTATGTTGTACACTTTTTCTTTATCTAGGAATGTTTTTAATAAGACATACAACTTAAGTTTTGGAATGATTTGTTTAAATTTTCAACAAAATCATATTTGTCGAGAAAAAATTACAACTCAATTAGGATAAAAAAGATCATTTAAAATTGGAGATAAATGTTAAATTATCTCATAAAATATTAATTTAATCAAAATACTACAGATAAATCTTATCAATTCGACAACCCTAAAGAATCATGGTGCAAATCGACAGTCATGAATGATTTTAGTATAATTCAAATACTAAAAGAAAATATTATCATTTATCTTCCGATTGTTAATTATAAGATGGCTCTAATTAAATTATTTCTTAAAAATCTTTAATATTCATTAAAAATAGAGATAAATCCGATATAGATAAATAATTTAATTTGAATATATATATATATAAAGGTAATTTAATATAATTTAATTAAAAACGCGCCAGATAGAAATAGATAAAAGCGCGAACACTTCTTTGAACTACTTTAATAATCAACAAATTTTACACTAATAATAATAAATTAATCAAATGATACGAATAAATTTGACCGTGGAACAATAATATTGGACCATGAAAGACACATGCAAATATAATTAATCCACGAATGAAGTGTATATATAAGAAACTGTTATACAATAAAAAATTAAAGAATCATGAATTTATCGTTGATCTAAATGATTAAAGAAAATATTATTATCTTTAAAGATCATGAGTTCAAGCAAGTATCTCTGTAAGGAACACATACATTATTAATAGTTAAAAAACGTTTGAATACATCTTATCTTAGAATCATTTTATTTTTTTGGATAATCAATTTCATTACCCAAGAAAGCATAATTATGCGAAGAATACCAACCCTTACAGCACAACATCACTTGCTAGCTAAACGCTTCCAGTGTAACAGAATAATAGAATACAATACAACTACCCTCAGTCAAGCAAAAGGCTAACAAAGAACAAAGAAGAACGAACCCACAACTATGATATACCCAACTATCACAGAGGGTATTGTTCCTAGAGTCATTTCTGTTAATTGGCCATCCATCTAACCGAATTTGAATATCATCTTTAATGTCCTCCAGGATATCACTCATCGGCCTAAGCAATTCACCATACAGCATGTTATTCATTTCTTTCCATATGGCATACACGTGGCTCGTCAACACAAGCTTAAACACTCTCGTAAGAAGGGACTTTCCTTTGAAGATGTGGGTAGCTCACGATAGCTCGCCTTCCCAGTGACTTACTCTTCAGTTAACGCCACATAGTAAAAGAATAGCCTTCCAAAGGTTTTTAGCATAATCACATTCAAAGAAAATATAGCTCCTAGCCTCAGGCACCAAATCACAAAAGAGAGACATATCATTCTCTATGGCTATACCCATTCGCATCAATCTCACCCGGGTGGGGAGCCTATCCAAGATAGCCATCCACAAGATTATGTTGTGCTTAGGAATACGCCTGGAAAACCAAACCAAATGATGCCAAACAACCTTTGGCGCCATGATGCGCAAGTCTTCCCATATTTGTCTCGTATTGAGAACACAGTCTCGATCAACAAAGAGATGGATGACGTGTGCCTCATCTTCAACAACTTTTTGAAATTCTAGCTAGCATTTGTAGGTGGATTCATCTGCCAAAAATCTAAATTTTTTATTACATAGGATCGAGTCCAAGCCACCCATAAGGAGCCATCCTCAGTTAAAAGCTTCGAATCAATTTCACAGAACAAGCCATGTTCCATCCTTGGATATCAATAACACCAAGGCCCCCTTCAGACTTCGGTAGACAGATCTGCCTCTAGGTCACCCTAGCACCATTGGCAGGTAGATCAGTACCCTTCCAGAAGTACCGAGAGCATAGCTGCTCAACTTTCTTAATCACCCCCCGAGGAAGCATAACTTGCCTGCACCAATAATTGGTTAAGCTAAACAAGACAACACACACTAACTGCAATCTGTCAGCAAAACTCAAATGCTTATTTTCCTATAGGTTCAGCCTTGCTCTGATTTTAATCAATAAGACTAAGGCAATCCCTCAACATGAGTTTCTTGGTCACCAGAGGAATCCCTAAGTATCGAACAAGGAGTTTACCTACTTTAAAACCAGTGGTCTCGCTGATAATATTATTTTGAGCAGCAGTTAACTCACTTTTGCTAACATTAAGCTTCAACCCCGACATAAAATAGAAAACTTCCAGCATAACTTGGACACCACTAATGGAATTAATTGAGGGTTTACAAAAGATGAGAAGAGCATCCGCGAAACAAAGATGGGTTAAGCCAATCTTTTTACACTTGGGATGAAAATTGAAGATCCCCTTAAGAGCAGCCAAGTTCAAGAGACTAGATAACACATTCATGGTAAGAATAAATAGATAGGGTGAAAGGGGGTCACCTTGCCTAACTTCTCGAGCCCCCTAAAATACCTAACTAAACTGCCATTTATTACAATCAAATAGCTAGGCTTGGTAAAACAAGACATATCCAAACAATAAATTTATCAGGAAGACCAAGAGCAGTGAGGACAACAACTAAGAAGTCCCAGTTAAGTGAATCAAATACTTTTTGCAAATCCAACTTCATGGCACATCTAGGGGATATGTTCTTTCTACTATAGCCCTAACAACCTCCTGGGCAAGGAGGATATTATCCACTATACTCATTCCTTTAACAAAAGTAGTTTGATTCTTTAAAACCATGCTAGGAAACACAGAAGACAAACGTTTAACTAAAATCCTAGTAATGGTCTTATAGATCACTATGTAACAGGATATAGGCCTAAAGTCCTTGACTAAGCTAGGGTTAGGTACCTTTGGGACTAGGAATACAATTGTGGCATTAAAAGCATGGAGGATAAAGGATCTGTCAAAGCAATACCTGATAGCAGCAACAAAGTCCCCACCCAAAATGGACCAAGTTTTCTTGTAGAAGAAAGGGTTATAACCATCAGGCCCAGAGATTGATCATTTTCTTGCCCCCAAATGCTTCCTTAATTTTAGAATCAGACACATCTCTGCATAGATCATCATCAACACCTACAGGGAGAGAATAGTTAAGAAGATCCCTAATAGTTGAAACATTGCTTCCCTGAACATTCCATCTGCCAGACCTAGCTGATTCTGAAAAACTTAATCACCTTATTTGAAATACCATCAAAAGAGTCCAATCTGGTACCAGATTGGTCATAAAGAACTCTGATTGTATTACTCTTCCTTTTGTTAGCCACTACTGAATGGAAGAATTTAGTCCCTTGATCCCCCTCCTTAATCCAACTGGCTTTTGCTTTTTGTTTGTAAAAAATAAACTTAGCCTCTTCAAGATATTTGAGCTCCCTTTCAGCTTGAAGTT